ACAGATAATGTATACTTACCTTGTTATCTGGAAAAAAAGTTTGGGACTATATGTAATTTAGGGCTTGAGTTCTGTAAATTGTGTTTTCTATTTTTGGTCTTGGTTCATTTGCTTTTCTTGATAGATAAGTTTTGAGTAATTTATATGTTTAATTACACCTTTCCATGGAAATCAATCTCACAAAGTTTATCAATGATCTGGAAACCTTATAAATAGAGCCTATTTGTATCTTTAGCATATATAACATGTTGAGAGAATAAATGGAAAATGAAATGAGAAGTTAGTTTTCACACATAAAAATTAAATACCTGAAGGGAGCATGGTATTTTTGCTTCTGCCATGGAGACCAAATCAACCTTAGATAAATAACTGAAGTAAGATGGATGAAAGATATTAAGGATGTTGTACATGTTCTTTAGCTTCATAGTAATAGTTCATGAGAGGAAATTATTGCCTTGGCTCCTCCCAGATCATTTGAGTGGGAAATAAAGATGACAGAGGAAAAAGACAAGTAAGACCCTTTAGCCAGGGGAGTCTACTGAGGGAATCAGTCTGATCTTTTTGCTACTCAGCTAGTGTAGTTTTGATCCATGGAGGCAGGTAAATGATCCCTTAACTTTACTGGTGCATTTGTGTTAGGGAAAAAAGCATACGTGAAATCAAAGTAAAATGTATGTTTTGCTTCTGTTTTCAAATTTAAAATAGCTATAAGTACAATTATCATGATCTAAATTCTTTACTGTTTGCTTTAAAAGACAATATAACCTCATTGATTAACTCCATCATCATATCTATTTTACATTTTTTAGGGAAAGAGGAACATGAAACTATTTTTGAAGGAAGGCCTTTAAAAAGTGATGTTAGATAATGGGGGAAGGAGAGCTAACATTTATTTAGCCATTAAAATGAAATATGCAGACACTTTATATCATGTGCTATCTAATTTAGTCTCTAAACAAATCTTTGTAAGGTGGATGTTATTATCATGACTCTTTTTAGATGAGGAAACAGATCCAGAGAATTTAAGCAACTTGGAGTCAGACCAGGACTCAAAGCTGTTGTGCTTTCCACAGCAGGGTAGTTTCTGCTATGCAACTTAAAGGGTTAATGCATTATGATTTCTAGTACAATTGTCTAGTATTTTAATGTTAGCTTGAATTTTGAAAACTATATCTGGAAAAGTCAGAGCCTGTACATGTTTGTTTATGGTGTCCAGATTAACCTCTCCAGCAGGTGTCAGGAAGTAGGTTAACCCATTCACTCTTACTGTGTAGGTGACTAAGAATGGTTAGCTACATTAATTGTGTTGATTTTAGTTGCTCTCTAGCCAACTCATTTACTTAGTGGTAAGTGTCTTTACTGAGCACTGGAGGCTTGAGAGAAAGTAGGAAGTGAGGAAAGGAGAAAGAAACTAAAATTCGTTGAGTGTCCATGTACCAGATATTGTAGTTAGTGGTGGAACCAAGACTGTTGTAACTCTGGTTTTTTTTAACTTCGAAGCTCCTGCTCTTTCTACTGTGCACCAATGCCCTTTTTACTGCAAATCCTTAAATCATATGTTAGTCTACTTCTGGCCAAATAGTTCCCTATTACTATTTCTCTCCATGCTACTGGCTTAGTTAATTTGGGCGTTTACACGACAGTAGGTAAGAGCGAAGGTTACAAAACTGTAACAGTTCCAAAACTGAGAAAAGCAGGAAATTTCTCAAGGGAGAAAAATAGTTGTTCCCTAACCCCAGCCAACTATGCTGTAAATTTGTCATTAGTTTCAAAGCCCAGGAAAATAGGAGAAAAAAGGATGCTTCAGTACAAATCTGTCACCACTAGGAAATTACGTCAAATATGTTAATAATATATTCTTCTTTAAAGGAAGATTACAATTTAAAGTATACAAGGGACTTATTTAATGTCAGGCATTAATACTCAAAACACTCCAGTGATTTGAAAACAATAAAAACAATGAGAATGAATGTTGTTCGTGAAACAACTATTATACTTTAATATCTCAGGTTTGGAGTATGGAGACTGTATGTAAGTAGGTTGGAAACCAAGATAACTGAATTCTTTTTATTACTGTTATTGAATAATGGTATGACTTAATCTCTTACAGATTTTTACCAGAGAAGGGATTTATAGTGCCTGCTGTCTTGCCTAAACCATTGTATAAGTAATTTTGAGATGAAACAATTGCTATATGTAAAGTTTTAAAAACTATTCACGTTAACTAATCAGCACCATTTATGACTTTGATGTTGGTTGTTATCAGCTGCTATTGAATGTTTAAATTGGAATGCTTTAAAATGAAAGTACGATATAATACAAAGAATTTAGACTTTAGATCCAGATAGCTTGTGTGTAAATCTGGGATCTGCTGTTTTTTTTTTTTTTTACCTATCTGACCTCTAAGAGTTTCGGCTTCTTTATTTGCAAATTGGCAGCTGTATTAATTATCAATTACTGCATAACAAATTACCACAAATTTAGTGACTTAAAACAACACACATTATCTAACAGTTTCTTTGGGTCAGGAGTCCAGGCATGGATTAGCCATGTCCTCTGCTTTAGGGTCCCATGAGACTGCAATCAAAGTGTTGGCAATGATTGCATCTCTGCAGAAGGCTTGACTGGGGAAGAATCTGCTTCTAAGCTTACATATTAGTGAGCAGGATTCAGTTTCCTGCATACTGTTGAAATGAGGGCCTCAGTTCCTTGTTGGTAACATCTGGAGGCTGTTCTCAATTCCTTGCTATGCCTGCCTCTTCATGTGACAGCTTGCTTCATCTAAACCAATGAGGGAAAGAGTTGGCTAGCAAGATGGAAGTCAGAATATTTTGGAATCTAATTATGGAAGTAACATTCCCTCAATGCTGAAGTATTCTATTGGTTAGAATCAAATTATTTGAGGGGAGGGTATTACATAAGGGCATGGATATGAAGTAGCAGAATTATTGGGGTCATCAGAGTCTGCCACAGGGGCAATAATATTTCACATGAGTGTTGTGGAGATTATAAGAAGTAATATATATTTAGAGTTCTTTATTTTCAGTCTGAGCTTAAACTACCTTTCTGGATATTACCTGTTAGTCTTTTGCACAGGAACCAAATGCACTATTACTGTTATTACTAAGACCATTTACTGTTTCCTGTTTTTTTTTTTTTCTCGACTTTGTGGAGTTTGTGGAACACATTTCTTCTCTTTGTAATGATTACCTCCAACAATTTGACTTGTGAAATTCATCTTCCAGGACTTATCTCAAATGCTACTTTTTTCATAGACGTCCCTTGATCCATGCTTCTCTGACCCAGAAGTCATCTCCCTCATCTGATCTCCTGTAACACCTTTCCATAACTTTATTATGGCATTTATCTGTCTTGAATTTTTGCCTTATTTAAATTATGAGCTCCCTAAGGGCAAAGATTGTGTCTTAATCTTTTCTGTATCCCTTAATTCTTTTCTATATTCTTATGTTGTTATAGCATCATCTTTTAAACATAGTAAGTCAATATGTGTTGATTAATGAATTAGTTTTTCCAAGGTTTAGCAGTTTAATAACTTGTAAAGACAGATGAAAGGAGTTTTAAATGGTTGTGGTTGTTTTATATGTTGTAATAACCAATATTTCTAGCACCATAGGGAATGAAGTGTTCCATGTAAGTTAATTTTCCAGTTAACTACAAATCTTATTTATTTATTTATCTTTTTTTTTTTTTTTTTTTTTTGAGACAGAATCTCACTCTGTTGCCCATGCTGGAGTGCAGTGGCACCAAATATTCTTTTATATGCCTAAAGTGATTTTATTTTGATCATTCTTCATTCATTTACTCATCTGTTTTTTAGACCAACAAATATGTAATAAGCATTTATTATATGATAATTTCATATATTAGGGATTTGGGATGAAAATCTTTCTAATATCTTTTGTGTACTTCTCTAAATAGTAATTTATCTTATTGAAAGTATTTAATTTTTGTTTCAGATTCAGGCATAGTGTGAATGTCAGATATTGAGCTGTGACACAGTTAATACGTACAATAGGAACTATTAAACTGTGTAAGAACCGTTTGCCTCTACCCCAAATTATATTACTTTGGGGTTCTAAAACTACAAATTGTTTTTTTTTGTCACTGTTCTGCTATATTATTGGCTACTTTTTAGTTCCTTAGTTATTTTCTTCTAATCTTCTGTGTGCTGGAAAATCAGGTAGCCACTTTGCTATTGTTCTGTATAAAGTATGAAGACACAGACTCCTGGTGAGGTTGTTAGCTGAAAGTAAAGTACATGAGATAGGACTTGAAATCTGTTATGATACCTGAAATGAGGTTTTAAAAATTTCTTTTCTTTTCAGTTACATTCTAGGAAATTGAAGTTACCTCATATGAGTTGCTTTATAAGTCATATAAGATTTCCAGATAAAGTCAAGTGTAATAATAAATATGTTTTGGTATTTTAGAAGTTTGATACAGACAAAAATGAGTTCTCTTAAAAATTTAAAAGAATTATGATTTCACTGCAGATTCCTTCTTTGATTATTAAGTAGCTCTGACATTATGCTGCTAACATCTTTTAAGTCTGTATTTAGATTATAAAGAACAACAATGGTCTAACTGAACTATATTAAGTTATTTTGTAGTTGTGTCTTTTGGCAAGCATTCAGTGATAAATAGTAGATCTGTCCATTTAGGATATTTTTCAGTTAACTTAAATTTGTTTTTGTTTTTCTAGGTTAAAAATGGCCATACTATAATAACTAATTAGTCTAATGCTTTGCTTATGAAAATTTTTTCCATCATTATTTTTTCATTTTGGATTGAGAAAATGAATCCAGATATAGAAGAAAGTACAGGATATTGCAAAAAAGTTCCTGTTAAACAGTGAAACATCCAATAGCTAATTTGCAAGAAGTTTTAAAGAAATAAAATTGTTATGCTTCAATTTTGGTATGGTATTGACTCTATAGCACATAGGTAGCCCTCCAAAAATTCATCCAGTTTTCTAAATTATGGAAATTTTGTGGAAGACGTTGACCTGGATATTGAGCCTCATCATGGCTTCATCGGAATTTCATAGTGACCACAGGCTTTCATACAGTTCTCAAGGTAGGATTTCTGCTTTTGAAACTGACAAGAAATATTGCTATTAATTGGACAAGAAAAGATTCTGAGTAGTTAGTGTGAACGCTTTCTTTGGAATATGTAGTGATAGGAATGGAGGCCTACTGTGTCAATTCAGTGCTGGTTTCATAAATGTTAAAGGCTCTAAGAGTCTGTTTAACATGTCCTACTAGTATTTAACATCAGTGGATTTTAAAGTTAGCTAGTCTTTCTTGGAAAATGATAGACCCCAGGCCCTCTTCTTCTTCTGAATACTAAACTTTAATAGGCTCATTCATTGCTAGGGTTTAAACACAAGACCATGTAAAAGAGTGAGAATTGTAAGAAATTCAACTTTTCAAATTCTAATTCTTATACTTTTAATCTATAGAATTGAACTTTATATCATAGAAATGATCTTAACAAAGAAGGTCCCAGGAGTAAATGTCATTTTGTTTTCCATGGACCAGTTTAATCCTCATGCAGTTATTAAAAGGCATACCTTTTGGATTTTGCTCCCATGAATGCACAGTAACACATTTTTTTTTTTTTTTGGTGCTGATGAGCCAGATTTTCAAGACCAAGATTGATGTATATGTCTAGAAGTCCACGTGCAAAAGTGTGGCTCTCAAAGTAGATCAGTGAAGCCATGACATTTAGTATTAACTCTTATTTATAAGAAGTGAAATAAATAATGTCTTTCAATTTATTTCCATTAGGTTGTGGTTTCATGGGAGTTTATATTTGTGGGTAAACTCCATGGACAGACAGTGAGGCAATAGGCAGAGATTTGGTTTCCCTTAGTGGTAAACCTAGCTAAAGGAAGGTATGGCTAAGAAAGTAGATGGGTAATAGTACCTATAAGTGAGGAAAATATGTGTAATAGTTGTTTGAATTTTTAGTCAATCTTATATTTTTAACAGTTTTTTCGAGATATACACATACCATTAAAGTATATAATTCAGTGGTTTTTAGTATTTTCAGTGTTGTATAACCATCACCATAATCAATTTTGGAACGTTTTCATCACTCCAAAAAGAAACCCTGTCTCCATTAGTAGTCACTCCGAAATTCCCTCTAAACTCTCTCTCACTCCCACCTGTAGGTAACCTCTAAACCTCTGAACTTCTCTCTAGAGATTTGCCTATTCTGGTTATTTCATATAAATGAAATCATATGTGGTCTTTTGTGACTGACTCCTTTTATTTAGCATAATGTTTTATATGTTAGATAACGAACTTTGATTATGAAGGCAGTTGTTATGAAGGCTCATTCATGTCATAGCTTGTATCAGTACTTCATTCCTTTTTATTGCAAAATATTCCATTGTGTGAATATACCACATCTTATCAATTCATGAATTGATGGAAATTGGGGATTCCTTTAAGATTTTTTTTTTTTTAGAGACAGGGTCTCACTTTGTCACCCAGGCTGGAGTGCAGTTGTATGATCATAGCTCACTGCAGCCTTGGACTCCTGGGCTTAAGCAATCCTCCTGCCTCGGCCTCCCAAAATGCTGGGATTACAGGCAGGAGCCATTGCACCTGGCCGATTTTTGGCTATTTTTCATAATTCTGTTAAGAACATTCACATACAGGTTTTTATGTGGATGTGTGTTTTCATTTCTGTTGTATATATATAACTGAGAGTGGAATTTCTGGATCATATGGTAACTCCATGTTTAACGTTTTGAGTAACTGTCAGACTGTTTTTCAAAGTGGCTGCGGCATTTTACATTCTTGCTGATGGATTTTTTTAAAAATAATAATTTCTAAAAGGCTGTAAAGCTTCTCTTTTGGATAGCTTTCAAAAACAGATTTTATCTGAGCTAAACTCTTTTCTTTTACATATGTATGCTTTTCATTGTTTTTTATTTCAATGTAAAATTTTCATACTTCCTATAGAATTTTAGTTCTTAGAATCCATGTTTTTAAAATTAAATTTTAAACAAAATTACTTTTGCAAGTAATTTTAAACTAATTGTAACTTAATCTTTAGATTTTAAACTTTTACTCTTTCATTTTTATTTAATATAACATTTTTTGTACATACCTCACATATAATGATGCAGAGTTTTAACTGACATAGTTGTTTATATTGCTTCTTCTTTGTTCTGTTAAATTTTTTTTCTTTCATGTTTTTTTTTTCTGGATTCTCTGCCTTGTGATTACAAAGAGGAATTCCTGACTTATCTTGAACACTACCAGCTAACTATTCCAATAAGGGTTGATCAAAATGGAGCATTTCTCAGCTTTACTGTGAAAAATGATAAACACTCAAGGAGAAGACGGAGTATGGACCCTATTGATCCACAGCAGGCAGTATCTAAGTTATTTTTTAAACTTTCAGCCTATGGCAAGCATTTTCATCTAAACTTGACTCTCAATACAGATTTTGTGTCCAAATATTTTACAGTAGAATATTGGGGTAAAGATGGACCCCAGTGGAAACATGATTTTTTAGACAACTGTCATTACACAGGATATTTGCAAGATCAACGTAGTACAACTAAAGTGGCTTTAAGCAACTGTGTTGGGTTGGTAAGTAGATGTTATACTTTTAAATTTATGATGGGAAAATAAGTTCACAATGTAAATGTCTTTCCTCAGATTAAAAAATATATATAGGTGGTTTAAGTAGGAAGTAATAGTCTCAATTTTTTTGCTCTTTCTGCTGCTTTTGCTTCTGATCATCTTTTTCATAATGTTTGTATTGTCTTTTCAAAGAACAGCTTTTAAAACTTTATTAGTAGAGAAATGAATGAAACCTCAGGTTTCCTTTTAGACTTAAGTTTTTCTGTTCAAATAAGTATCTTTTATGAATAAACAAAACTCAGTCATTTGTGAAGAGTTTCAAGGTGTGTTTGTATATATGTGTGTATTATGGCAGGAAACCATGACACTGATACTCTCTTTAGATTTCTTTCTCTAAATACCTTTTTCTGGTAGGTAACATAGCTTAAAATTACTTATGACCTACTTATGGCTACAAGTTCTTGAAGCAAAATCTTTTATACCAATGTCAATGAAATAATTTTTCCATACATTTATATGAAGATTGATGATAAATCTTTTTTACTTTGGGTTCAGGGCTGGGTGCAGTGGCTCACGCCTGTAATCCTAGCATTCTTGGGAGGCTGAGGTGGGAGGAGTGCTGGAGGTCAGGAGTTTGAGACCAGCCTGAGCAAGAGCGAGACCCCTGTCTCTACTAAAAAAATAGAAAGAAATTACCTGGACGACTAAAAATATATATAGAAAAAATTAGCCAGGCATGGTGGCTCATGCCTATAGTCCCAGCTACTTGGGAGGATGAGGCAGAAGGATCGCTTGAGCCCAGGAGTTTGAGGTTGCTGTGAGCTAGGCTGACACCACAGCACTCTAGCCCAGAAACAGGGTGAGACTCTGTCTCAAAAAAAAAGAAAAAAAAAGAAAGTTGGGTTCAGGAGTACAGGGTTTATGTTAGGCACTTTTTTTTTTTTTTGAGACAGGGTCTTATTCTGTTGGCCCCAGGTAGAGTGCAATGGTGTGATCATAGCTCACTGTGATCTCAAACTCCTGGGCTCAAGCCATCCTCCTGCCTCAACCTCCTGCCTCAGCCTCCTGAGTAGCTGAGACTATAGGCACACGCCACCATGCCGGGCTAATTTTTCTATTTTTTGTAAAGATGGGTCTCTCTCTTGCTCAGGCTAGTTTCAAACTTGTGACCTCAAGTGATCCTCCTGCCTGGACCTCCCAGAGTGCTAAGATTACAGGTGTGAGCCAGCGTGCCCGGCCTATGTTAGGCATTGAGTCAATCTGGTCTAATGGTAAATACACAGTTTAAAGTTTCACGTAATGATTGCAGAACAAAGCATATTCCCATACTTTATCTTCGGCATTTACTCTGTTCAGGCTAATGGAAATATTCCATTAAAGCTTTATCTGGGGCCGGGTGTGGTGTCTCACACCTGTAATCCTAGCAATTCTGGGAGGCCGAGGTGGGAGAATCACTTGAGGTCAGGATTTCGAGACCAGCCTGAGCAAGAGTGAGATCCCGTCTCTACTAAAAATAGAAAGAAATTAACTGGACAACTAAAAATATATAGAAAAAGTTAGCCGGGCATGGTGGCACATGCCTGTAGTCCAAGCTACTTGGGAAGCTGAGGCAGAAGGATCGCTTAAGCCCAGAAATTGAGGTTGCTGTGAGCTAGGCTGACGCCACAGCACTCTAGCCCAGGCAACAGAATGAGACTCTGTCTCAAAAAAAACACCTTTATCTGGATAAAAGGGCACAAATATTTTAATGTCCAAGGCATATTTTCAGAAAATGTTTTTCTTCCTTATTGCAATATGCCTATATTCTTATTTATACTTCAATATAAAATAACTACATAACCAGAGTTGGGTTTAAATAAGTTTTAAATTGGAAGGAGCTATCAAGAACTACACAATGAGGAAAAATTTTCACTTATAGGTGTGTGTAAGAATTTGCCCAGATTGTCCATTTTCCGTAACTGTTAATTAAAATGAGCCAAAATAATTAGATTTTAAGGTTTAGGTTTAATTCCTATAGATAGACATATTGAGTACATTTATTGTTAGTTTCTCTGTAAGCAGTGTTAGGACTTTACATAAAAAGCAGATTTACCTTTTTGAATAAAATTATCCAAAATAAATGTGTTCTAAAATTTCTCGTATGTTAAAATGACATGCTGTTAATTGTCATAGAAAAATAACTTTTCCTAGCCATTTACTAATACTTTTCCTAGTTGTTGACTTTTCCTAACCTTTACATTTGGCATTAACATTAATTATGACATTGCTAGTTTTAACAGGGTGATAAAATGAGGAAATTTGATATTTAAAAAAAACAAAACAAAACAAATTCCACTGTAGGACATGAGGGAAGAGGGGTGATTGTAGATACGAAGATGAGTTAGAACATGTAGGAGACAATGAGGGCCTATACAAAGACTATGGCATTGGGAATGGAGAAGATAGAATGAAATGAACCACACTTTGGTGAGAAAATTTGGAGGATTTGTGTCCTATTAATCTTTTCTTCACTGGCATATAACAAGACAGGTAGTAAATAGTTGGTATTTAATAATATTTTTAAAAACTGAAATAGAATTGAGCTGGGTGTTGGACGAGGAGAAAAAGTGTAATAATTGAAGATGGCTGAGATTTCTCATTTGGATGAAGGTGTGTATGAATGTTCCTTGTTGAGAAGGAATGCCAGAGGAGTGTTGGATTGGAGAGGAAGATGATATAGTAAGTGTGAAGAATCAAAGAAATAAAGATTAGAAATGCCTAGTGGCATTTGGGAAATATAGCTGTGAAATTTAGAAAAAATTCAATTATGGAAACAAGTAACTTGAGGGTCATTAACATAGGTGACTGTTGATGAAATTGTGAAACATGCTGTTTGATGAGTCAAAAATGAGAATAAGGTTGAAAATGAAGGAGATAGCAGAGTATTACCCATCTATTTTTCATCCTCGTTGAGACTGTCTCTTCTCTTTCCTTCTGTTAATATGTTAATACCTTTCTGTTTTACTTTGTTTCTTACTGAAACTATATGGTCCATGTTATTAATAACTTAAGTTTGATTACTTGGTAAGATGTGATCTGCCAGGTTTGTCCACTGAAGTTACTATTTTTCCCTTGGCAATTAATAAGGAATTTGTGAGCAGATATTTTGAGACTGTGTAAATACCCTGTTCCTTATCACATTTTTACACACCAGTTTTAGTAACTGTTACCATCATTCTTAATTTGTATCATGTTACACTTTTAATCAAATGGAGTATGTAAACAAGTTTTTTAAAAATCCCACTTTTCAAAGGCTACTATTTTTAATTAATTCTGTTTTTAGTTGTTCTATATAAGTTAGTTTTCAATGCAGAGATCATAAGTATTTTCTAATCATATTTCCTCACCCATAGTTTCAATGTTACAACCCTTGCACCATTGAAGGGACAAAGTTCCTAACATTATAGCCTACCAGTTCCAAATAATGTCACATTTTAGTTTGCTTTATAGTTGGACCATGGTGTTTTTATCCAGGGTTTTTTTTGTGGAGTTTCTAATTAATTTTATTTTTTCTTATTGAAAAAATATATTATTTCTTTATTAAATGACCAATATTACCCAGATCCTTAGTCCTCATATCTATTGCTTTGAATATAGTCCATTCTTTTTTGGAGGCATTTTGCATGGAACTTACCAACTAATTAATTTCTTAAGCTACTACGCACCTCTCATTTTGGGATTTCTTCTTTCCTTATTTAGTTTCACATCTTCCTCTTTCTGAGTTTACATCCTGATTTTGTTGGAGAACATCTTCAAATAATTACCTCACATAGGTGCCTGGAAAGTAAAATTTCTGAGTCTTTGCCTATTTGAAAGTGACTTTATGTTGCCTTCGTGTATGGCTAATAATTTAGCTGAATGTGGAATTCTAGGTTCAAAAATAATTTTCTTTAAGAACCATCGATGGTGGAATTGAGAAAGGGAATACATGTGGCATCAAATTTACCTATATGGTTTTGTATCTTTAAAAAAGGAAAAAGATTTAAAATTCTAAACAATTATGATTGATTCATTTTAAGTGGCAAGTAGAAGTCTGCTGTTAGTCTGATTTTTGTCCTTTTATTATTTAAAAAATTTTTAATTAAAAAAATTTTTTCCTCAATGAAAGTATGTTCTTCTCTTTATCCTTCTTGTTTCAGGAATTTTATAATGTGGCTAGGTATGGGTATTCTTCCCTTCTCCCTGCTTTGTTTTTCTTTTAATTTCTTATTTCCTTTATTGCCTGCATAAGTTTCTCCTGTGGAATTTTTTTCCCCTTTCTTTCCTTTTTCTTTCTTTCTCTCTCTCTCTGTCTCTCCCCCTCCTTCCCTCCTTCCCTCCCTTCCTTCTTTCTTTCTCTCTCTCTTTTTCTCCCTGCTTGGTTTTTCATGGGTGCTTTTAATTTAAGGACCTTTTTTAAGCTTAGAGAAATTTAAAAAATTATTTCCTTAATAATTTTATCTCCTTATTTTTTTTCTTTCACATGCTTTCTCTTTCTGGAATTGGTTCTCTGCTTCTCATATCTTTTTTTCTTTTTCCATTATTTTCTATTTTGTTCTAAGTTCTATGAGATTTTCCCCATTTTGCCTTCTTTTTCTTCAATTGATTTAAAAATTATAGCAGTCATGTTTTTATTAATAATTTTCAAGAGTTCTTTCTTTTTAAAGCTTTCCTTACATTCTGTTCTTATTTCATGAAAAATGGTTTTCTTCAATCCCTCTGAAGATACCAAAGACCATATAAGCTACCTAAAAGCCTAGTGACCCCGTGAAACTTTCTCTTTATTTATTTATGTCTGCAGCTGCCTTTCTTCCTTTTCCATTATTTATTTATTCATTTTTTCTTTCACTAAATACTTGTAAGTAATTTCCATTACTGTTGTAGGTGCTAGGAGCAAAACAGAAAACAAAACAAAAATCCCTGTTATCATATAGCTTGTATTCTAGTGGAGTAGACACACAGTAAGATAAACAAGTAAAAATCATAGT